AAAAAAAAAAAAAAAAAAAAAAAAAAAAAAAAAAAAGAAAAAGACGGGGTCCGCTGACATCTAGTTGCAGCCTAATCCTGGGGTGCTGAGGGTGTGAATGGGCCTCAGATCTCTGGGTTTAAGTAAGGGGCCAGGACAATGAGTGGCTGAGCAGGTGGGGCAACTGGTGCAGTGCTGGGGCTTCAGGTGGAGGAGAGAAGTCCCTGGAGGCGGAGGTCCCCAGCTCAGCTGTCTCCCAGCATCACTGTCATTTGATAAAGGATCTGCTTTGCAGCTGAGTGAATCAGTTGCTGCAGGTTAGGTGGTATTTGGGGAGGAAATTTTGTTTGAGATAGTATCTCCTTATGAAGTTCAGACTGGCCTTGAACTTGGTATATAGCCCAGGTTGGGCTGGAGCTCAGAGATCTTCCTGCCTCAGCCTCCTGATGGGGAAGAAATTGCAGACATACTTATATAATAATGTATGTAGAGAAAAGTCTTCTCCAAAACCTCTCTACTATCTTGGTTAGCTGCTGTCACCAGCTTCTCATTTAGCTTCACCCATATAGAAATGAATAGCAAGCTGTGTATTCTTGCCTTTCACTGTTTCTTTTAAAGTCTGAATTAGCAGAGAGCATATTATGCATATTATGTGGTACTTGGTATTTTTATTTTATTTTTGCTTTTTGAGACAAGGTCTTGTTATGTAGCTCAGGCTGGCCTTGAACTTGTGGCAATCCTTTTCCCTTAGCCTCTCAAGTGCTGGGACTACAGGCTTTGCACCACCATTCTTGGCTGGTATTTCTATTTTAATGCATCAAGTAGTTTGTTCTAGAATAAGTCTAAGTCTATTTGCATTTTCCTTCCTGGGGGGTGGCAGTTTGAGACAGGGTCTTGCTAATGTAGTTCAGGCTGGCCTCGAGCTCACAGCGATCTTCCTGCCTCAGCCTTTAGAGTGCTGGGATCACTGGTGTGTGTCACCGCATCCAGCATTGATGTTTTTTTCCTAACCTCTTTTTTTAGATAAAAACCCTTCGGTCTGCAGTGGTGGGCTCAAGCCCAGGCCTTGCCTGCTATGCTCAGCTGCCCACCAGTCCCTGCGTGTGCCTTCTACAATAGAGTTGGCCTTGGTGCCCTCCCCGGTAACTCATGCCAGCTTGCAGCATGCGGTAGCCCAGTCCTTGCCCTGGGCTCATTCTGTGCCCGAATTCGGGCCCTGGCCAATCTGATAGGGAAGCGGCCTCCCAGCCGGTTGGGTGTCTTTGTCATCCTGGTGTGGCCCGGGCGGTCTCCCTGCACCGGGCCGGCAGCTGCTCTTGCTGAGAAAGCGACGCGTCCACTTCACCCGATCCTGACCTCTTTCCTCCATATTTCCTGAAGTGCGCACCTGCCTGGGTAGACAGTCTCAAGACTGCGATTTACACTGCTGGCTGTCCTCATTGTCACTTAGCTTTGGCTTCTGCGGAGTCTTTTCTTCCTTGGCCAAGCGGAAGTTTGGTTGTTTTATGGTTTTTTGTCCTGGGGGCCAGGCAGGCAGTCTGCCTCCAGAACTTCACCTGGGGCTCGCTGTGTGCACCGCGCAGCTCTGATGGCTGATGCGGAGAGGCTCCAAAGCACACCCGAGCACACTTGTGTCAGGAAAGGCCGCATGCCTCAGTGGCATGTGCCTTGAGTTATTGTAAGGAGCGATTTTCTTTAATTAGCAAGATTCATCTGTTCAATACATACTTCTCTAGTGTGCACGGCAGGCTGGGGACTCTTCTAGATATCAAGGCAAGAAAAAGAAACCCTGGTCCCTGCTGCAAAGACCGCAGTCTTGGGCAGAGGCAGATAATAAACAAGTAGATAGGTGCTCACCACGTTGAAAATGAGAGTGGTAGTGCACGCCTGCCATCCCAGCACTCAGTAGACAGAGGCAGGAGGAGCCCAGAGACTTCAAGGCCAGCCTGGGCTACACAGTGAGTTCAAGGGCAGTCTGAACTACATGGAGACACTGTCACCAAAAGCAAACCAAACAAAAAATTCAACACAAAACTCTAGTGCTGGGCATGTTGGCGCATGCCTGTAATTGCAGCACTTGGGAGGCTGAGGCAGAGGATGGCCACAAGCGGCAGCCTGAGTGACATAGCTCAAAGCCAGCCTGAATTATATATAGTGAGAGCCTGTCTCAAATATAACAACCAAAAACAAAACAAAAACTGATAAACTGTCTATAGCATGTACCATGGAGAGGATTTTGCCTTTCAGTTTCTTTTTCAGTGTAGGGACTGAACTCAGGCCTCATGTATGCTAGACAAAGGCTTTACCACAACGTTATGGTCTCCTTTGTAGCTGGGATTCCCAGGTGCACCATCAGGCCCACCCGTGGTGAGCTCTGAGTGGAGGACCAGCCTGCTGGCTGACTTGGTACTGGGTCTGCTCAGGGTGTGCGAGGCGATGGCAGAAGTAGAGAGATGGACTAAGCTGCTAGAAAGCAAGAGAGCCCAAGGATCTCTGGCCCTGGCTGACGCTGAGGAGGCCAGGAGCAGCGGCCAGAGGCTGGGCGCGTTTAAAATAGACCTGTCGGGCTTGTTGCAGGCTTGCGTAGGCTCTTGAGACCACACATCTGTCTGTCCATCTGCTTCGGTCCCGGCTTAAGCATTAGGGAACGGGGTTGCCCTGGCTGTGGGGACAGAGAGCTCAGTGCCACCAGGAGCACTGAGGTGGGGTCATGGCCACTGGGCTGCTTAGCCCTGTCAGGAGGAGCTCCATGGAGCCACTGGCTCCCTCCTCTGCCCTGGGGAAGCCGAGGCACAGAGATGACAGAAGACCGTTGAGAGGAACGCATGGCGGGAAGTAACCAGCCGGCGGCCGAGTGGTGCACAAACCTGTGGGCTGAGGCAGGAAGATCTGCAGGTTGAGCCAGCCTGGGCAACTTGGCAACTTAGTGAGACCATCTCCAAATAAAAAAGAAATGAACAGAAAGGGCTAGGGAGGCAGCACCACCCCTGGCCTAAGGATGAGTCACAGCAGGGTGAGGGGCACTGCAGATGGGACAGCGTTGGCTCCTATGCCACTTGTGCCTCAACAGAAGGCAGCTTTTCTTTTAGTACTGGGAATTGAACTCAGGACCTTGTGCTTACTAGGCAGGCATGGCACCACTGAGCTAAACTGGCCCCCAGAAGGCAGCTTTTCTTGTTTCCTGGTCTCATGGTGCCATGAGCATCCTTTGCACTGGCACTTCTGTTTTGGAGAGGGTCTCACTGTGGTCGTCAGGCTGGACTCGAACTCACTATGAAGCCCAGGCTGGCCTCAAACTCACAGCAGTCCTCCTGCCTCAGCCTCCCGAGTGCTAAGTAGACACCACACTCGGCTCTCCAGTTCCTGTTGGTGTAAAGAGCTGGTTCCTGGAGGACCCAGATGGCCAGGCATCAGAAAGGGGTGGACAGAGGCCCCCAGATGCACCAGACCCCAAGCCTCTGCCAGAGGGCCAATCTATTGCTGCCACTGCCAGCTATTTCCGGTCCCTCCATCCTGTGGGGCCGACATTTTCCCAGTGGGTTCCAAGCCCCGTGCACTGTTTTAGCTGTCGTGGGTGAGCTTCTCGGGCCAGCAGATGGGTGGAATGACAAATAGGATGGGACAGCTGTGTGTGCTTTCACCTGTGCCGGAACTTGGCTGCACACATCTCCGGCAGTCTGCACGTGCACATGGGGACAGTGGCCAGCTGGCTTCCACCTCCTCCCATGCTCACCCCCATGTCCAACTGACTGAGTGACTGTCCTGGTTTGGGCACCCCAGAAGCTGGCCCAAGGCAGCGCTTGCTCAGTTTGTCCCCAGGAACTGGGTGAATCGAGGGGCTGGGAAAGAAGCCACCTGGGTATGTTTGGTAAGTGGGCCCCAGCAGCACCTCAGCGTGACCACAGGCCTCATCCCAGCTTAGCCTGGAGGGCTCTCTGTCCCCAGCTTCTCACTGGCTAGCAGCTGTCCAAGTTGGGGGTGGTATTGCACACCTGTGATTCCCAGCCTGAGGGAGGCTGAGGCAGGAGGATCACCTCAAATGTGAGGCCAGCCTAAACTATATAGGAGAGGAATGTCTCAAAAAAAAAAACAACCAAAAACAAACTGTCTAAACGGCCCCGAGAACCCTGTGTACAAGTACTTTACATGCCTCAGTAGGGGCCCTGTTCCCTGATGTCCCTCCCCAATTGCTCAGTGAGATCCGGGGCTGGGGAAATGAGCCATGGCCCAGAGGCAGGGTCGCTGCCCACCTGATGCAGGTGTGACCCAGCCACAACTTGGTGCTCACTGCCTCCAAGGCTCGGTTTCCCTGTTTCCCAGGTGAAACATGAAGACCACGGGGACGTCTGCTGGCCGGCTGAGGGGCTTGCAGGGAGGCGGCGGGGGCCTGGAGGAGGACTCGGCACAGGGTTGGCAGGGTGCCGAGGACATTGCCGTTGCAAGGCAGGCGGTAGCATCACTGAACTAACTGGCCCCCTCCTCTCTATCTTGAGGTGGGGTCTATGTGGCCCAGGTCTCCCAAGTGATGGGGTGCAGGGTGGCACCACCACACCCTATTTTTATTTTTTGAACACTCTTCTCTTGTGATCAGCGACCCAGATGCAAGCAGATCCAAGAGGCTCTGCCGAGACTGCACACAGCATTTCCTCTATCCCAGAGCTGAAGGCTCCAGGTGATTGATTCAGAGCTGCGGGACAGACAAGCACAAACCTGGCGGTCAGCCTTGGGCTGCAGGACGCCTCTCCCTCCACTAGACGGCAGCCCTGCCTTGGAGCAGGCTGGTGGGCACAGGGCTCTGGAGAGACTCTGGGCATCCAGGATCGCAGTGGGAACATCAGCCTGTCACCAATCTGGAGGGGGATCCGACTATCCTGGGCATGCGGAGGCCCAGCAAGGCGGTGTCCCAGGGCGACTGATGGTGAGAAAGGTGGCTGACGGTGTGGCAGGCCAGGTCCAGTGTTACCACCTTTACCCCTCCAGCACTAAGTACTGTGTCTTAACAGTACTCAACTTTTGAATGAGGGACCAAGGCCAGAAGGTAGGTGACTTGGCCAAGGTCACAGCCCACGCCTGTTTCCCATTCTATTCCGTGTCTATTGGGTACCAGAAGAGGCACAGTGTTACCTGTAGCAGCAAAACGCTGTGGACTGGATATTCCATTAGCTGACAGAGAATGAAGAGTACAAGCCTGTCACCCCAGCTACTCCAGAGGCTGAGGCAGGAAGATCTCAATCAGTGGTTACCCTGGGCAACTCCATGAGAGCTGTCTCAAACTTTTATTGATTTAGAGACAGGGTCTCAAAGAATAACAACAAAATCCCCCAAAACCAAAACATTGAGACAAAGCCAAGTAAAAACCACAGGAACAGAAAACCAAACTCAATTACTCACGGAAACTGGTACCTGTGGCAAACTATAAAGGAACATACTGAAGCCAGGGATCTAGCTCAGTGGTGCTGCTGCCTCCCTTGCAAGCTCAAGGTCCTCAGTTCTCTCTCTGGTACTGCCAAAAAAAAAAAAAAAAA